TTTATTAGTAGAGAACAGTGTCGAAGATATAGGGGCACAGCTGAATGAGGTGTCTGAGGATAACTACAATGTGTCGAAGACAGGGCGAACGAGAATGTTCAGGGTGTCGAAAGGATGCACTCGCCAGTGGTTTACTGCGCCCCTTCAGTGGTAAACCACTTCCAGGCTCACAGACCTCTCCCAGATCAGGCCGAAACCATCACTGGCCTCCAATCCCTTTCGGGAGAGAAGAAACGGTATCCGGGGAGAACCCGAATTATCGCCAGAAAGTCGAGAGGGCGCCGCACAGCCCGCTCCCATACGGTCATCGTGGGGGGACCACCTGGCATACGCCAACCCCATTACACCACATACTCAAATCCTCGAAACTGCACCCAGAGAATGGAATCCTCTAGGAAAGTTCGACAATCACTGTCCACGATCCTCGTAAAATTAGGTGTATTTAAAGTTATGCCGCCAATTTCAAGGCTCCTCCATGCACTTCTCGTGCTTTTGCCTTTTTGGGGTATTTCCCTGCTTCTTTTCATCTCTCGGAAGTACCACGCTATTTTTATTCGATTTCGGGGAAAGCGGCTGCAAAAACATGAATTTACCGTTTGAGCTTGTTGCTTTCTGAAAACCCTTCGCAAAAAATGTTTCCTTAATAATTTTCTCCGATTTTCAGATCACCTAAAAATGCCACCACAGCAAGTCGTCTCCAAGAGCTACAACAAGCAAGAACGGCCCTGTGTCGGATTATTGTAATCAGGTAGAAAAGTATAGCTGACGTTAAAATCCGATACCTTCAGCTGACGATCCAGCAGGAGCCAGTCCAGATTGAGCTGCAAAGGGAAACGCTAATCAAACACGAGATGGGCAGGATGCTTGGGGCACCGGAAGTATGTCTAGCTTCTTTCACAGGGCAGGCTGGCAGAGAAACTTTGAGATTAGCGAGCTTTAGGGCAATCTAGCAGAGAAACCTCAGGAATACAGTCATTTTCCCGAATTAAGATATGTAAGTTTCTTTTCTAGGTATTGACAAACGGCCAGCACTTCATCAGGCTGGTCAAGGGCAAGAAGGCACTAGATGTTGGTAAGTAAAGCTGCAGCTGAGAGGAGAGAGAGAGAGAGAAAGAGAGAGCGAGAGAATGAGAAAGAGAGAGCAAGACACCATAACGTTTTTCTCTAAAAGTCGCAATTTAGGAACCTTCACTGGTGGTTCAGCCCTCGCCCGGGCCCCTGGCACCGCCAGAAGACGGAAAGGTATGTCTAAACATTCAAAATTTAATATTTACGGGATGTAGGTCGTTTCAATGGACGTCAGTCATGTCGCTTTGGACTCTATTGGAAAGCCGATCCTACAGAAAGCGCCTGAAGCGCTGAAGAAGATTGATTTCAGATTGGCAACGGCCATGGAAACGCTAGGTGAAAGATAGAGCGAGAAAGAGAGAGAGAGAGAGAGAGAGAGAGAGAGAGAGAGAGGGGGAGAGGGTGAGAGATATAGAGAGAAGGGTAGGATCTAAGGAGAAACAGTATTCTTTTTAGACAGCCTAATGCTGATGGCCAATCGGGAACTTCGACTTCGCTTGCACGATGCTGACAAGACGGCCCACCCCGGAATAATATGCTAAAACTGTGACTTTCTGAGAAGCGGAGGCAGTTATCTCGTGGATAATGTATGTTTTGGAAGTTGCTTAGGCTGAACGATGGATTTGCTTAGGCTTAGCTTGGGCTTAGCTTAGGCTTATCTTAGGCTTAACCTTAGTTTAGTTTAGGCTTGGTTTAGGCCTGACTTGGACTTGGGCTTAGCCCGAATTTACCCTAGCTTGGCTTGGGCTTGGCTGAGGCCTAGCTTTAGGCTTAGATTCGGGCTTAGCTTAGGATTAGCGTAGGCTTCGGCTGATCCTTAGCTTCGGCTTATCTTTCTTCTCGGCTTTTTTGCTTGACAATCTTCCGTTTGAATCAAAGCTTTGTTAAATTTGTATTTAGGCCCTACGCGGAGGAAAAGTTGCCCTGCCTGAGAAAGACGAAAGCTGTACTGCCATCGATGCTTGTGAATCGTCAAATTTTTTGCGGATCCTAAGTAAGTTTGGAACTAAAGATGCAGGCAACCTAGCAGACAGCATTCGAGAGGACACGCGTATTCGAAATAAACACTCCTTATGGCAAAAAACAACCTAAAACTGATGTTTTCAGCTCCAACTCATTCCTGATTAACGTCGGCGACGGCCGCACGTCGCCTTTAAAAAGCTTGAACAAAAATTATAAAATTAAAACCACGTATTGTGCTCAAATAAATGACCTATGTCGCAGACGGTTTTTTTGTACGCTATAAAGTAGAGACATTTGTCATCACCGATTTCAGCTCGACTCGCGGCTTCGTCGAATATGATCCCATTTTTTTATGAATCTGCCGAGTCCTCTTCGCTCTCGCTGTTCGCCTACTCGCTTCGCTCAAACGCAACATCCACCGTATCATTTCCGGTTCAATATTCCCGGTCCAAGGAAACGGTGATAACCAGGTCAATAGGAGGATAGTAGACCAAAATTGTAAAAAAGAGATGAAGGGAGAGCGAAAGAATCAGGGAGAAAGAAAGAGAGAGAGAGAGAGAGAGAGAGAGAGAGAGAGAGAGAGAGAGAGAGAGAGAGAGAGCGAGACAGGGAAGGAAGACGGCTGATACCAACAGACCCAAACAGAGATGATAACGTACATAAAGATGACAATGACAAACGCAACATCAGGCGCCACTTTATTTGAGTCTCCATAGCGTGTATCCTAGCATTTTGCAGCTGGGGGCAGTCCAGGCTTTCCAAGTTCAACTTACAACAGGCTGACGATTTATGAGGGCTCGACTCGGGGTCTAGGAGATGTGAGGTACATTTCCCGCCTCTCGGTAGCCATGTCCAACGCGTCAATTCGCTTGGAAGGGAGGGGCAAGGAATGTCCGTAGATTGTTGTGGTTATGGGTTTCAGCTAGACTTTTCAGCACTCCCGCACAACGCATTCGCTCGCGTTTCGATTGCTTAATGGATTAGGGTTATAGGTTTAGGATTTGAACTTTAGGATTGGGACTTTCAGGACGGCCAAGCGTTGGTTGCGTTCATTTTTCACTCAGCCAAGGTGGCAGTTGATGGCTAAATAAGTCTTAAAAGAAATAAATCAATAAATTATATTTTGAAGCTCTGAATTTCGCAATCCATTTCCAACAGGTTTTCTTTGCACATCTGTTCGGACCGTGTTCGGAAACATTTGGCCCCCGAATTGACCTTGCCCCGCGTGAAGTTGACAGGTTGAGAAAAAGAAAGAGAGATGGAGAGAGAGAGATGGAGAGAGAGGGAGAGAGAGAGGGGGAGAGAGAGAGAGAGAGAGAGAGAGAGAGAGAGAGAGAGAGAAAAGATGACTCAAAAAAACAAACCGCCCTAGTGCAACACCTAGGCAGGAAAGGGGTGGCTGCGTAAAAAGAGCAAATAAAAAGGGCTCTGGTCCGGCTGGCGAGTCCATTTTTCTCAAACGGCATTTCAAGTTCAGCGTGTCCTTAAGGCTTGATTGGATTTCTGTAGTTTTTATGATGTTCTTACGGCATTCAGTTTCCAACCCAGCAATTTTCCAGGTGCTGTCGAGTTTTATAACGATTTTGGCCAGATTTCAGGTGAAATTCACGGCATTTACGCCCCTAAAAATTTAAAAATAATTTTAAATTTTGAAGTGTTTTTGATACTGTAAAATTGTAATTTGTTTTTCTATGGAAAATCAAAGATTGCTCGTGTTTATCTCGGACTATTTGGCTCAAAAAAAAGTCATGAGTCACCGGCTAAAAAAGAGTTTCGTATCGCTTCCTTTCCCACAACATCTACCCTCAGTCGGCTCGATCGCCACGATTTCGAAAACAGATTTTATGACGGCCCTGTGAAACAGTGGATCATTTGAACTTATCACTTTTCCTGGGCTTCCTTGCTTCTTAGTCTCTTCTGCTACTATACAAAATGTGTGCCATTGTAACTTGATACCTCACGCCCAGGGCCAGATACTTATCATTGCCTAGCCCCTGGGGTTCAAAACATTACGGCGACTCGACAGTGCCTTATCATATCAGCGTCACAAGCTACAGATAGACTTTGCATCGGCGCGTACAGTTTGATAACTGTTGAGAACGTTCTTGAAGTTTGTAACAATTAAATAAAGCTAAAAATTCTAATTTCCCAGCTTTTGAACCTTGCAATAAAAATAAAAATTTTGAATTGGATCTCGCTGCTAAATAACTATTGAGCGTAGATTTTGTCATTGAGAAAAACGCGCAGAACTGTGTTTCCTCCAAAAACGATTTCTCCATTGCTATACCATATTCTCCTTGTTCTGGATTTCTAGGAATATGAATAACGATTTCCAAATTTTCTCTACTTGTCCGCGCTGGTTACCTTACATCCCAAACGAGTGCTGCTAGCCACCGCCAAACGCTAAATCAAGTATTTTTAAATTTAGTGAAACTTGACTAAAAGCGAAAGAAAACGCGTTTTTATCTAATGCTAATTCTTCAAATTTCTAAATAGATAATTTGTATAAAAATCTGAAGCGAATATGCATCAAAATTAACGGCAGTAACGGCCGATTTCAGAAATAGCGCCCTGATGCTTACTAGCCTTGAAAAAGCATGATTATGTATTCTGTGACGGGGCGGTCATCTCAGAATGTCAGGATTTCCCCTCCCGATCCGTGTCTCTAGTTTCTGATTCGATCGAAAAGCAATGGCTTATCTCAGCGTTTCCAGCTATGGCCGTGGCCCAGATGGCTTTTTTTGTCAGCGTCTTCGGGGCGCTTTATAAGGTTCCAGGATTTTACGTTGGGCGCCGGAAGTTTGTGCGAACTTTTGATCTCCTGTCTTCACTGCTAATTTTCGACTAAAATATCTTAAAAGCCATTAGTACGAAAATATACTTTAAGAAATGTTTTCTAGGTATACTTCGGCTTCTCTTATTTTTTCTGACAACTTTTGGCGTCAAAATTCTCCTTTTTTGCAGAAATCATGTCCGGAACCGTGTCCAAGAGCTACTACGAGCACGATGATAAGGTCATCGACTACTGTAACAAGGTATCGAATCCAAATTACTGAAGGTTATTAAATCAATTTGCAGCTGACCATCAAGCTCCATCCGATGCAGCAGGAGCTCCAGGACTCAACCCTGGCCAACCACAAGATGTCCGTCATGCTCGGAGCCCCGGAAGTTCTCACGATCGGCCAGAACTTCTTGAAGTTGATCCACGCCAAGAAGGTTTTGGATATTGGTGAGTTAGGGCGAGAGAGAGAGAGAGAAAGAGAGAGAAGAGTTTTATCCCTCTTCTTCCAGGAACCTTCACCGGTGCCTCGGCCCTCGCCTGGGCCCTTGCCCTCCCCGACGATGGCCAGGTCATCTCCATGGACGTCGACAGCTCTGCTCTCGATCAAATCGGCCGCCCGGTCATTGAGAAATGCCCCAAAACCGCTAAGAAAATCAAGTTCCACACCGAATCGGCCATCGATACGCTCGGTAAGTTAAAGGGGATCTTTTAGAGGGGTTGCCTTACGCCGTAAAAATTAACCGGTGGCAAAACGTTTTTCAAATCTTCAACTTTTTTAGTGAAGTAGGTGATTTTATAGACAATTTTGCTGGATAAGATGCACTAGCTGACTTTTTTCAAGAACCTTTTCCAAGCTTTTATGCCCATCAAAGGTGGCTGATTTGTGGCTTTTTCTGTTAAATTACTCACAACTTACGAGAATAGGGAATTTCACAAAAACGGTAACTATATTCGCAATTAGCGCAATATTCTGCACCAGACAAGCTTGGTCCTATCCCAAAATCCGGACTTGACACTAAAAAACGTCGCCTTGTGGGCCTATTCTTATCCAAATTCCAACCAAAAACAATACAAATATAAAAGTCATGTTCTAAAACTGTTCCTCTACTTTCAGACCGGCTGATCGCCGATGGCCAATCCGGCACTTTTGATTTTTCTTTCATCGACGCCGACAAGGTCAACTACTCCAACTACTACGACAAAAGCCTGCAGCTCCTTAAGCCCGGCGGCGTTATCTTGGTTGATAATGTAAGTGAAGCTTTTTTTTTAGATAGACTTTTAATATGCCGTCCGTTTTAAAATACTTTTAATTTTTAGGCCCTGTGGAGCGGAAGCGTGACAAAGGAGAACAAGGACGAGTCGACGAAAGCCATCGACGCCTGCAACCAACATATCAGCCAGGACCCCAAGTCGAACTCTTTCCTCGTCAACACGGGCGATGGTCTCCATGTTGCCTTCAAGATTTGAATGACCTACAAATTTCAAAGTGCCAGCTTTTGCGCAACTGCCTGTATGAATAAATTTTATGCTATAGCCTTGCGCTTCCATCCCTTGGCTTTCTAGAAACAACAACAACAAAAAACACACGGTTTTCATCGTTCAACAGCAATATTTTCTATAAATACAGGGTATCCCAATAAAAACGACCCATCTGGCATTTCGCCGTGTTACATCCAACCGGCCCCAAATTTGGACCAGAGTTGGTATTCCACGGAACCCTAAATAATACAAAAATCCTGACATGATTTTCGGCCCCCCCATAATGATTAATTTTAAGTGGTCTCCTTTGTTTTTTTTAAGTAAATTTAAGTAAAAAAACCTTTCAAAAAAGTTCGAAAAATGTTGAAAAGGTCGAAAATTTAGGCATTTTGGCCTCCCGCTAATCCTAAGTTTTTTCGACCCAAGATTAATTTTTAATAAAATGTGGGTATTATTCTCAGGACTAGTTAAAACCATTTAGAAAGCATGCGCTATTTAGAAAAATAGCTTGGGCCGAAAAAATTTGGTTTCCCCCCCGGAAATCCCCCGAAATCAAGAACCATTTTTGTTATAACTCCGAAACTAATATGACTGTGGGGCTATAAGTCAGGATTGTTGTTATTTAGGTTTGTTGATACACCTCTGATCGAAATTTGGGTCGGATTGGAAGTAACACGGTGAAATGACAGATGGTTCGTTTTTGGCTTTAACCGTAATATGTAAAAATCAATGGGTAGGCTGGTTTTGCATTCAAAGATTTCTTAATTGTCAACATTGGGACGAAATATTGAAGGTTGGACTCATCATCGTCGTCAATGGGGGGTGGGTCTACTCGTCGAACTGCCCAAACAGCGTTCACATTTTCGGAAGGTCCGGGGCCAATCAGCCACACCCTATAGCTATTCCCTTCGTCAATCGGCAACTCGGTGAAGAAGCGGGCCCATTCCATGCGGTCGTCGGCGACATTGGCTTTTACGACCAAGTGAAGCTCGCGGTTGTTGCGGCATTTTTCGATGAACTGCTCCGTCAGCTCCCGGTCGGACTCACGGTCAAACAGAATTGACCACGGATTGTTGTCTAAAATAAAGTTAAATATTTAGGCTATGCAAAACCCTTCGGTTCTGGATTAAGTCGTTTGCGTTGGTCTGGTTGGTCGGCAAAAATATTTGGTAGCCGTTTAAGTTTGGCCCAGTAAATTTGATCAATGCTATAGTACTCCATGACCTCAATTTAGCGCTGCTACTGCAAGGTTTTTGCTTAGCATCTTTGCAGCATTCTGAACTAAAGAAAAAAAATTGGAAATGCGAAAAAACTCGGGATATTTTGCCCCAATTTTCAAATCAATCTATTTAAATTCTTAAAATACACCCAGTGTTGCTATGCTGTGGAACGTGACAGGCTTGACATGCAAGGTTTTTGCTTAGCATCTTTGCAGCATTCTGAACTAAAGAGAAAAAATTGGAAATGCGAAAAAGCTCGGGATATTTTGCCCCCAATTTTCAAATCAATCTATTATAAATTCTTAAAACACACCCAAGTGTTGCTATGCTGTGGAACGTGACAGGCTTTTAAAGTTGACAACGTATGCCTTAATATGCAAAAATTAACGCTGTTTTTGAATCTAGCTACAACCCAAATCCGCAAAGCCTGCCTGCAAAACTGGCTTCTTACACAGCCTGCTAGCTTGGCTCGAACATGAACGCACCTTCAATTATCCCTATCGCGGCCTTGAGGCCCTTCTGTTCAAAATCGCGCAAATTTGTGACCATTGGAGCTGCTGGAGCCGGTGGAGCTCCTTGCGGTTGAGCCGGTGGCGCTCCTTGCGGTTGAGCCGGTGGAGCTGCTGGTTGTTGAGCCAGTGGAGCTCCTGGTTGTTGAGCCGGCGGAACGCCTTGTTGTGGAACCTGTGAAGCGCCCTGGTTGGCCTCTTCTACAGTGTCAAGGCTAAATTTTATAGTTATAAACACCAGAACACACTTCAAAGCCTTGCCAAAAGCTTGCCCGAACTTTTTTGCGCATGCTCCAGCTCGAACCCACCAAAAATATTCTCGGTGCTTTTCCTTTTCATTTCTCCTCCTAGTGAAGAATTGGTAAAGTGATCTGTTGACTCGATCCCAGGCGTTCAAATAAGCGAGGAAGAATCGCCGAGATAGGGAGAATGAAGCCCCTGAATCGTAGAATGAATAAAGTTCCGATGGGGAACTTACCGTGCTGCACAAGCAGCTTGATGCCCAGCCTATAAAGTGTGTATAGCGCGAGTGGTTGTGTTTCTCACCAGTAGAGATAAATAAAGGTGAAAGGCGGTGGTAGAAGTGGCTTATATTCATACTCGACGGTTTTTTTATACCACACGCGGCGCCAGTTCTGTGCCTGCTTCACCGATTCAAATTCGCTGCTGAAATTGTAGGGCTTTTGTTGAGTGCTTCAGATTCGAAATTCGGTCCCGTCCCTAACTAACGTGCCTTAAAACAGCTGTTAATATATTGATCAAGATGACGGAAGCCACTAGCGTGTAGGCAAACATGAATAGCGGCATCAGCCAGCTTTGCATGACGCACTAGAACACATTTCCGTAGCAAATATTCCTCGAATCTGTCACACCTGTAGATCGCGATAGGTCCAGTCTTTGCCTGTTGCCGGCATCGTGCAGTTTTTGCCTGGAAGGAGAATTATCTTTCCTTTGAAAAACAGTCTTACCATCCTTGTGATCATCGTTCAGCTCGCCAAACGTCTCCCAGGCACCATTCCTAACAAATAAGCAATCCAGTTCGCTTGACTTACTTGAAAAATTGGAAGGCCCACCCTCTGTCGCCTTTTGCCCCCATTAAGATATACTAAAATATTGACTATCTTTGCCAAAGCATCTACCGGTACCTGGGCCGCGGCATAAGTGAGCCAATGCACACCCAAAACTACGAAAACATAGCCGAGAAACCAAAACTGAAAAGTGGACATGTGGTTTCCTAAAACTCTTTTTTGAAAACAAAGCCGGCGTCTGCAAGGGGCCTAAAGGGGCTTATTTTGCCGGCGTACCGTGTTTTTGATCGAAAGTATGATGGCATTTGGTGTTGGATGATGGCTGACGACACGAAGCAACATGATGCATGAGGGAATAAAGCAGACGGCAAAGATCAAATCACTAGCGGTTTGAAGTCTGAAATTTCGAGGAGATTTTCACAACCCGTGGTTTTAATGGACGAAGAGCTTTTCGATTCTTCGAGCGTCTGCGCTTAAGCTTTGGAGGTATTGCGGGATACTGGAACTAGCTATGACGGTTTAAGGATTTAGTAATCATGGAATCGATTACGATCGAAGCCCTTTCTACGATTTTGACGCAATTTTAAATCGATCATACGGCGGTGGGGGGACGAAGATTGCCAATTGGTCTTCAATGTTGAACGATGCCAAATCACGTACCCGTTTATGACATGCTCCATAGGATTCAATACTTTGGATGTCGATGTCAGGGTTGAATAAGTTGTTGTCAAACTGTTTGCTGTGATGTTGCCTCCAGTCTGCGTACTGAAATTACCATGTTGTAATCTAGTCAGTTTGCCACCCCAACAGCGGATCCATAACTCACGCACCTGTTGTTGTACGGCTTAAGGTCCGCCGGCATCTTGTATACCGAGAGAAACAACGACAGCGGCAGGTTGCTCAAGGCCAGCATTGATATCATCAGATATGACCTTTGCTTACGCCAAAGGAACCAACAGAAGTTTGAGAGGAAAGCTGCCTTTCGCTGAAACAAACATTGCCCGTAAAATGTGTCACCTACATTGAAAAACCGGATACGGTAATGCGTACAGACGAACTCGTAAGAAATTTCCACAAAATGCGAGACTTGGTAGCTGGAAAAAGTTATAAGGTGTTGTTCAGCTCAAGAACAACGCTAAGGTAAGCTCAGGAACAACCGCTGGCACCTCCACCATAGCTACATGTAGTATTTTTGAAAGTTTCTCGTCTTTTTTTTGTTATTCTTTGCAGCTCGCACTCGAAATGCGGCTGGTGCTCCATAAACGATACCATGCAATCATCAATCCCAGCTCCCGCCGTGATTGGGCCTCCGCTCCTTCTTCGTACACGCTATGCTCGAGGCTCGTGTTTCGGAGAAACGTCCAGTAAAGGCCCAAGTATACGATATACGACGCCTGGAATGTGCGTCGAAACAAAAACCGGCTAACTGACCGTATGCAACAAAAAGCTTTTAAACGGAGAGTGGGTGTAGCAAAAAATCTTCCACCCAGACTGCCAACGCTTTTCGACGGCTTGTAGGCACACCGAGTTGCGGAAGTAAGTCTGACGAACTTATTCGTTTGTTTTAAAGGATCGTTGCGGTTTTTTCGACCGGTACGTCTGAGACTTTGAAAGTCGGGATAGTGGGCCCCATATCTTAATGGCTGTTAGTGGAAGACTGGCGAATGAGGTGCAGACAAGTGGGCCCGGAGAAAGGTCGAATCCGGATGATTTTTATACAATTCGAAAGCTCCCGGAAAGGCGAGAAAACCAACGCTTTTTGTTTTACAAAATACTTTAGCCCGCGCTCGATATTCAACGATTTCTTAAAAAAGAGTCGGCGTCGTTTCAGTCTGCAGTTTTCCTGGATTTGGTCCAAAATTTAGTGAAAATTTAAGCGAGTGTGTAAAATAAAAAAAAGAAAAGTGCTTGTTTGCTCGCCTTTTCGAGTTTTCGATAGATACCTAAATCGTCACACTCAGGCATGACTGCGGCCCGCTAGAGGGGAGTCGATTTTTTGGCACACCCTGTAGTTAGTCAGCCGAACTCATACATACCTCAGCTTTACATTCGGAAATGAAATCCAGTAGCTTCGTCGATAGATCGCCTTTCATTTTGTAGGCCATATGGCGTTCCGATAGCAATTCTTGAGTTTTCTTGAAGCTGATGTTATTGCAACTTTCCAGCACGGTTTCGCCCAGCAAGAGAAAGATTCTAAAGCACGACTTCGAAACGTTTACATGAATGCG